CCCCCCCCCCCCCCCCCACCGCCCCCGCCGGCTTCCCACCAACACTTTGGCATCTAGCATTGATAGGGAGGTAATCTCTTCACTTGATACACGTCAACAGGAAAAAACTCTCACATCTATTTACACAATAGGATCTTTTGTGTACTAGCTGCAATATTGACATTTTTCAAGGGCAGTTGTATTTCTTTTAGTGAACTGTACTTCGACCAGTATCGTTTTTTGTTGAGCCCTCGTTGGACCTGCCAGATCAATACATTTAAAACAAGAAAGGTGTATATATGGACATATTCTGGTGCTTGGGGGGGGGGGGGTGAGTTCTTGCACTAGTCTTTCAGGTCTGCTAATTAATCTATTTGCAGCATGAATTTTCTGATGTTATATATTGAAAGAAGCTTTTTGAAAGAAGCTGTTAATATATTTGGATATGTTACCTCTTTATTCTTACAGCAAAACTCTTCCATATATCACTTCATTCTTCATATTTCAAGGTGATTGGTGGTGACTTTGTCTTACAGCAGAAGACATGTCCATGCTTCTGTCATTTGGTGTCAAATTTTGCCTTCATAACGTAGTACTGTAGAAAGAATGTAAAGATGGATAGCCCTTGTTTCAGGCATAGTAGATATGCAGTTAATGATGCATATTCATGCTAATCAGGCTGTTGGAATAGTGGTACCATTTGGGAGCTTACTTTCATTGTTTCTTGCAGAGAGTCATTTTGGCTGCTGTAGAAAAACTACATTTTTGCCCAAAAAAGGGAAGTAATAAAATAGCCACTGAAATTTTTTAAAATCATTTATGGGCTTTTTTTCTCTCTCAAATATATTCTGTATATTATGACTTGGAGGATGGGGGGACTGTTGTCTCTGAGTCTGAATCCTTTCCACTATAATTTTCAGTCATAATATTATTTAGTGTATGTTTCCTTCCAGGGTCTCCTTAGCCCTGAGGATACGCTGAATAGTCTTTCCTCTTCCCCTCCCTGACTAATGCGTCATATCACAGCAAATCTAACTCTAGCTGTGGAGGGCTGGATACAAATCCCTTAGCATTGCTTTTGAAATTGGCTGTAGGGGTCTCTAGACAGCAACAAGAAGCATTCGTCTCTCCCCTTTCCATGAGCTGAGCAAATTGCCCCTCCATAGTACTCCTGGACCCTACCTACTTGGTAATCATTGTGCTGTCACTAGACTTCTTGTGCTGAAGACTCGATTTTATATCAATGTACACATTTATATGATAGAAATAAAAATATTTTAGCTATAAAAACTGTTCTATCTTTTAAAAGTAGTAATTATTCTGATGCCATATTGGCACATTGCTAGTAGTAAAATCTAGGCCTAAAGATATGCCATTTGTTCATAATCAAGAAGATAGTTAGTAGTAGTAATTTTTTGGATATATGGGGATGAAATATCAAATGATAACATCAGTATCCATTCATTTTAACTGAGGGTATAAATTCATGCTGGCTTTTTTAGGACCATTTCGACAGGTTTCTGCATTTTTTTTAGCTGCAGTTGTCTTGTCTTAGAAGGCTTGTGGCATATACACTGTGGAAACTCGGCGTATTAAGTATAGATAAATTGTTAGGAACATGGGGATATTCATTCTTAGGGCTTGTCTACACTGGAACTTTATAGCGCTGCAACTTTCTCACTCGGGTGTGAAAAAACACCGCGCTGAGCGCAGCAAGTTTCAGCCCTGTAAAGCGCCAGTATAGACAGTGCACCAGCGCTGGTAGTCGTGCTCCTTGTGGAGGTGGTTTTTTTTAGAGTGCTGGGAGAGCTCTCTCCCAGTGCTCTGCCGTGACTACACAAGCCACGTTAAAGCGCTGCTGCGGCAGCGCTTTAACGTTGCCAGTGTAGACTAGCCCTTAGTCTCCTATTATCAACAACCTCCTCACTCCAAAAGCTCACATTTTCTAGTAATTGCTGTTTAAACTGATTGTTCCTAAAAGAGAAACATTTATCAGGCTGTCACCTTGTTTATGTTTGTATTTACTGTAGAGTCTTGGTAATTTGCATTTCCCTAATCCACCCACTCCATAATTTGTATGCACAAGCAGTGGTCTTTTCCCCAGTTCTCAAGGATTTAATAGTAGTCTAGAGAGATGTCATATTACTAAAATTCATCACATTTACAAAACCTGTTACAAAACACTGAAGTATTATAATAAATAATTAAAGCTAAACTGTATTTGTGAGATAAACGATTTAGTATCTGCTTTTTATTATTTTAATTGCTACTTTGCAAAATGTAGTAATTTGCAATAGCTCTTCCTATCAGTGGAAATTAGCAATGTTCTGTGTGTGTATATATTCTGAATTTATATAAATCTATGAAAACTATACAGAATTTTTTGGCTAGTACAGTATTTGAATATGCGCAAAGCTTTGACCTCTTTCTCTTCAGTCACATGTTTGATTGACTTCCTCTAGAATTAGTCTCTTTTTATGGGGCTAAACATTTCAACACATCAGTCCTAAGTGATTAACATACTAATTCTTTATCATTTGCATTCCATTAACAAAGTAGATTATGACACACCACATTCCAAACATTGTTTTATAAGTATGTGTTTCGCTACTACTGTAGCAATACATGCTACTTAAAGGTTAAGGCTCCAGTTCTTCAATGAAACCTGCTAGTATTGACCTATGTGCCTGTGTGGCGTTTCATCAACTTAATTAGGACTCTAGACATGTGTAGGGGTCAGTGGTAGCAGATTGTATTGCAGGACTAGAGCTTAATTTTGTTTGTTTTTTTCTCATAGTTCCCTGTTGTAGTAAAAGAATATTGGGGGTGGCAGTGACCATAGGGATCACCTCTGACTATTTCAAACATTTTCACCAGAAAATTGGCCAGTTTTGCCATGCAGTAGTGATTGGAAATAGATTGTAGATAACAGGTGATCTGTTTGCAAGTCCATATTTCTTCAATAAAAATAAAAAGGCACTAAGTGGTTTGTGGATTCATGTAGTTAATTTGACTCTACTCTTTTGACTTAATGAAAATATTTAATAGTTTTCTGTTTGAGTTTTGCTATAAGCATAGTTGATTGTTTCAGCACAAGCTACTAAAAATGGGCTCAATACAGAAGCTATTACTTAAATGAGTAATTCCAGGGATTTCAGTGGGACTGTCACGTGAACCTTGCAGGGCTGTGTCCATGTATCTTGTACTGTTACGACACTCTTCCTTACAAATTTAATTTCTTTTTGAGGACTTCCATCTTTGAAAAGCACCTTTTATGGCTTAGTGTCAAACTGAGTCCTTCCTGCGCCTTCAGACATTACTTATGGCATGAACAAGACTCTGTCACCTCTGCATATCCCGGGCCATGCTTTGCAAGTCTTCTGTGTTGTTAAGTCCCATACATTTCTCTCTCTGAGTAATGTTCGAGGGAAATATTCTTTTTGTTGACCCCTTTTGCATGGGCACCATGTAAACAAAACATTTTAAAATTAGGAATTTATAGACTATATTAAATTATTTTATACCGTCTGTTTGAGTCCATATACTAAGACTTGAGCAAAAGACATTATGGTGTGTGGAATGCCTATTTTTAGTAAAACGTAATTAGCATCTCTCCTGCTAGGCACTTAACAGACACAAGACAGGTGCTTTTCGGGCAGAAACCCTATAATCTAAATGGGTAATGAGGAGAGTGGACAAAAGAAGGGAAACAACAACAACAACAACAACCTTACTCCAGACTTATTCCACAGTTTTTGAAGGGGTTTATATGTGTGCCTGTACAAGCTATTTCAGGAAGTTAAAAGTAGGGAGAAGGTGGGTGGCCTAGTGTACACTGGCACCTGTGAAGTGTGATTTCATGAGAGACTTGATGGAGAAAACCAGACAGGGATATGGCCTCAGACAGATATGGGGCAGCCTGAAAGAAGGTGCACGTAGGAGAGTGGAAGAAGAACCTGAAGAAGTAGTTGTGTTGCAGTTAAGTTTCAGTATCCATCAACCAGTTTAAAAAAATTCTAAATATAAGAATACTCAAGGAGAATATCAACATAATATATTGGAAATAAAGTAGCTAAACATATTTGATTTTATTCACAGCATTTCATTTATGGGGACAAAATTCAAAAAGTGGTGCATCTTTGTCTTCTTACCTTATTTATTTTAGTTACCCTTCCTCCTTTTACTTTTCGTAGGCTTTGTGACAGAATCTGAAATAACTTTTCTTATTTTTTAAACTGATTAGATATCAAGTTGACTGTGTTAACTTTATCAAGGAGAGCTTGAGGGAGTGACTAATAAATGCTAAAATGTTATTTCTGTGCATTTTACATCCCCTTCTCCAGTCTGAAGAGTTTAAATATTTATTCATGGTATACTGTGTTCTGTATTTAATTGTAATACGTTATCCAGTTTACAGCCAGGAAGCATTTGGGTATTCTTTCTTTCCTGATACAGAAGAGAGTGAAAC